GCGGCCCCTCCCGCCACTATCCTCGGCCGGCCGTCCAGCGCAGCTACAGTCAGGAGGACATGCTGGACACTCGGATCCGGACCGGACCGTACCGGCCCCGCGCACACTCCAGAGACGACCTGCTGGCCACCGAGCGCCGGGGCCCGAGACCAGACGATTACTCCCCTCTGCCCCGCCACGGCTCCTGGAGCTCAGCCAACGAGGAGGACAGCAGACGCGGAGGCGCTCGAGGAGGAGGCTGGAGCCATTATCCACCCAGCTACAGCGAGTACGAGCCGGGGAAGAAGCCGAACAAGCGGCCGGAGCGCTTCTCTGTAAGAGTCTGAGCTTCTGCTGTTCAGATGTTTGAGCACCGAGAGCCTGTCTGAATGTGTTCACGGCTTTCCTGGTTAATGTTGCTGATCTCATCTGATCTCACTGTTAAACACGTGGGACGTTCTGGTGTCATGAGTAGATATAGAGTGGGATCCAAACATCTGAAGCCACACTGATAACACTGCAAAAAAAGGCTTATCTTGTGTAGTATTTTCGTCTTGTTTCTAATCAAAATATCTAAAAGTTCTTAAATCAAGATGCATTCACTAGATAAGCAAAATGATGTAAGATATTTAGTCTTGTTTCCAGGGGAAGAATTTAATGATGTGCATTTTGTTTAAAACAAGTAAAAATATCTGCCGGTGGGGTGCGAAAAATAATCTTGTTTTAAGAGTAATTTCCTTCCCTCCGCTGTCAGATATTTTACTTGTTTTAAGCTAAATGCTCTTCATTTAATTTTTTTCCCCCTGGAAACAAGACTAAATATCTTACGTCATTTTGCTTCTCTAGTATATGCATCTTGATTTAAGAATTTTTAGATATTTTGACTAGAAACAAGACAAAAATACTAAGTAAGATACGCCTTTTTTCTGCAAGCCTTTTTTAACTTAAAAAGGTGGATTCTTTCTTTCTCGTTTAAACCTGGAAGGAAACGTGAGAAAAGATGGGAACACAGAACCGTAATGAGATCAAATGAATTAGTCAGAAAGTGAGTCTAACGATAAGGTCAGATTTTCTTCTTCCAGTACAGATCTCTGGAGAACCTGATGATCAGGGTTCGTTCTCATAGCTCTAGTGCAAACTCTAATATTGAGCTCATTTGTCCATTCAGCTTTCTGCATTTAACTGTGTTCTGTTAGAAAAGACTGCAGAGAAGCAGCATCTCTGATGTTTGGACCGCTCTGTACCTACACAAGCACACGGTTCATAATCACTGAGATCTTCTGCTTCTGTGCACACACACACACACACACACTC